CCCCCCCCCCCCCCCCCCCCCCCCCCAAACTTCGGGCAGCTTCTGTTTGGATTTGCGCTGTGCTACTGTATTTTGTCTTGCCCTTCTGCGCTATTCTCAGGATGCAATACTCGCTTTTCAGCCGCTTCGCACTAAGTATACGACAATTGTTTTTTTCTTTGTTTATCCACTAAATAAAAATCCCTGAGAATGCATTATATTATATCTTTGATAAAGGCGCTGCTCTGGTCGACGAACGTTAGTATTTTACTGAAAGTAGTGACTCGATTTTTATGATATCATAAAAATTCTCCCTTTACCTCACCCCACAAAATTTTTGAATGTCCACAAGCGTTCCAACAACTGTCACTCAGTCGGCTTACCAGAACTCGAGCATCTCCTCGCTGCAACCACGCTGACAGAAATGCTCTCCGAGGATGCCGCCACACCTTACTGTCATAGTCATAAAAATCATTGCGCTCTATTTCCGTTGGTTTTTCCAGTATGCTAAAAAATTTGTCATTTGTAAATTTCGAAGAACTTAAAAACCGTGGTCACGTTGAACGGCAACAAAAACCATAGCTGGTGCTAAGCAGAAATGAAATTAACTTTTTAAAAGCAATTCGAAGGGAAAAGTGTATTCAAACAATTGCACCTCAGATGATGCTCGTCGCTTAGATCAATTCTCTTCAAATTAGATAGATTAAGCACATGTATCTTATAATCCAGCTTTGTTGTAAATCCGTGTTTTGCATAATAATCGGATAATGAAGGCTCTAAAAAATAGTGCAGAACTGTTTCGATTTTAAGAATCTCAAAAGTTACATTGCGCCTTCACTTTGCTCTAACAGTAAAACAACTCTTGAATGAGGAGGTGAAGAAAAAAAGCTTCCCCATTTTTTATAGGATTTCTCAGAAATGAAAAATTTACCGGAATGTAGCGCCAGGTTGTATTTTTCACGAGCCAGCTGAGTACATACTGCTTCAAATAGAGCTCGACCTCGTCCTCCACCTCTGAACTGGGGCATCACAAAGTAATTGTCCAGAACTGCATACTCGCCCGAGCAAGCTGCCAAGGAAATGCAGCCAACAAATTCGTCTAAAAAAGGACCCAGAAATCCGGAAGCATCCAGCAATCATTTTGAACGAGCAGTAATAGACTGAATGCTGCCTTCATCCGGTAATGCAACAATTTTGCATTGCTCTTCGAAAATTCTGGAAGAAAAGATAAAGGAACGCCGACCTTTATCAGTTCTGGCAACCAGAAACTGATATTCACTTCCGCAAGCTTTCTTCAAGACTTCAAAATCATCATAGGATGCAAAATAGCGGTGCTGTTTGTACATTTCATCCACTGCATAAATCCATTCTTCTTTCGTGCCATCACGTATCGTAATATCGCTCATTAAGAGGAGCCGACTTGCAAGCAAATAGCTCGTGAATTTTTGCTCCCGAAATCGAACAGGATTTAATTTTAAAAAAATTGAGTAGGTCACCTGAAAGGGTGAAAACCAAAGTATTTACGTTTCAATATTTCTGGAACGATACTCAAAATAACAACGGCGCATTCTATTTCTTGAACAGAATTCTACAAATCAGTGCCACTTTTTGGGGCTCGACGCTTTTTCGACTCAGCTCAAGATGCTGTTAGAACACATTAGTGCATCGTAGGCTCTTAAATTTGTTCTATTAAGACTTTTCTGCTACGGTCGGACACAATTGGCAATTGCATTTTTCGACAGTTTTATGAGAGCGAAGGTTGCGAAAGCCGTGAAACAAAGTGAAACTCGTTCGTCGAAAGGTTCTACCTACACACTGCATAGTAATATGCTGAAAAATGGAGAAGCAACAGGTTTTTGAGTTGCCTGTGAGATGATTCGGGTGTTTATTTCTGCACATAGCACTTTGTTGTTCCATCGCCCTATATTTTGTTGAAAACAGGGAGAAGTGAACTTGGTTTTGTAAGCACGAAGGAAAGAGCGCTTGACTGAGGAATGTGCAACATCTTCACATTGATATTAATTTGGCACAACACTCTCACGAGCTCTCGCACTGCAAAATAGGTAGATGAACAGTGGACAACTGGAACTAGGATTAAGACGAGAAAGTATGGCTTTCAAAAAGTTAGAAGACAATTTTTCAAAGGTGGACTGAAACTGATTGTGAAAGAATCTCTCTTCAGTGTTCTACTATTTTATCAATTTTATACCGAAAAAAAAAAATCTGGGAAATCAGGTTTTCTGACGGGAAAAAGCTAGCAAATTAGCCAATCAGTTTTACGCGTTAGCGTGAGCATAGCTGTTTCGCTCTAGCGTGAGCGTTTGACCATGCGGCAAGACAAAGACAACAGAAGGACAATGCAAATTGCTGAACAATATAATTCGCGTGGCATTAAGAGAAAGCTGCGAAAGCATTCAGCGAGACGAAAGGGAACATTTCTACGGCTTTTTCAAGATAAATTGCAAAAGCATGGAAATGTTGTTAGCGAGATAACGTGCAACGATGAAATGCATCTATTGAGGAAGTATCAAAGTGTATTTCTCCCTCGCATTTGCTTTCGAATTGCTGCGCACAAAAATATTGGCTGGATCGTCGTAGACTGAGGGATTGGGACAAACCTGAACACTTGTCTGGTTACATGCACCCTTTGTTTACGAATTTCCGGAAAAGACTTTGAAAGGTTTGTTATTTCACTGAAAACAGAATTTGCGCTGTTTCTGGCTCGCTTTGTTCAAGTTTACCCAGTTCGACTAGCGCCACAAATGTCTTCGCATTTCTCTGAAACTGAATGACTACATCCCGAAGCTAGGCACTGGCAGCTCCCACTCATACAGCATGAATAGAATTAAAGCTCATTTTATGACTGCCATTCGTAATGTCGCACAAGGAGCTGTTATGGATACGTGTGAAAAGCCTGGAAGAACGGAAGAAATACCCGTTGCTTGCGGAAGCAACGTTAGGCAGTGTGTACGTGGCGGTCTCACCTTGTCAAGAACACCAATGAAAACAGTGTCGGTGCTGTATCCCACTGTTCCTACAGATTCCTGAGCTACCCTTTTCTCCTCGCCACTGCTCTATTAGTATGAACAGCTGGGCGCACCGAAGGGATCAGATGATTCGGCTTATATCCGGTTTTTTGCTAAAAATCGCGTTTACGCTGTTCGTTAGCCGGCTTGCTTGTATGGTGATTTTCTTCAGCAGCCAAAGTGTGCTTGCAAACGAATTTTGAGGAGACTTTTGGTTTATTGTCGATGCTTGTGCTCACTCGAATAAATTCCCATTCTGCCTAGTGAAATGTGTTGCTGCGAATGCCACGGCTTTGATTTCTGCTTCACATTTTTACCTGCTTAATTATTTCAAGTTGCTAGCGATACAGGCACAACCAAATAAGCAGTTCTCATGGATTTCTTCCAGTTTTTCCGAGTACTGGGGCTCATTAGTGCCGATTTATTCGAAAAAGCCTCCAGGCTGCTCCATCGCGTACTACTTGTCCGTCTGCAACTACTCCAGCACGTGATTGATTCTCTCAGAATCTTATTTGGTTTGCGCTTGATGAAGTCACATGCCTCAAGCCCCCCTAATTTTACTGGAGTATACGTCTGCTTTCGAACCATTTCGATCGACAACTTTTAGGAGTACTTTACGGCTGACGCAAATTTTTGCCTGTTGGATCCGAGGTAAAGCTGAAAAAGCCTTCTTAATAGAATTCTTACAAAATGGGTCGATGAAAACAGGTACTTTTTGGCATTCTTTCTGAAAACGTATGGGTGGCGAGAAATGACAAAAGCGCCCCTGTTTAATATTTAGAGCAGCAATCTTTCTAATTAGTCACAAAATATATTCACCATCTACTGGTACATAAATCT